ATAGTAGCGTCCTTGCTCCTAGTAGTAAGGCCAGGAGCCCCTACGTAGTAGCGTCCTTGCTCCTAGTAGTAAGGCTAGGAGCCCCTACGTAGTAGCGTCCTTGCTCCTAGTAGCAAGGCCAGGAGCCCCTACGTAGTAGCGTACTTGCTCCTAGTAGTAGTAAGGCCAGGAGCTCCTACATAGTAGCGTACTTGCTCCTAGTAGTAGTCCTTGCTCCTAGTAGTAAGGCCAGGAGCCCCTACGTGGTAGCGTACTTGCTCCTAGTAGTAAGGCCAGGAGCCCCTACGTGGTAGCGTCCTTGCTCCTAGTAGTAAGGCCAGGAGCCCCTACGTGGTAGTCTCCTTGCTCCTAGTAGTAAGGCCAGGAGCCCCTACGTAGTAGTGTCCTTGCTCCTGGTAGTAAGGCCAGGAGCCCCTACCTAGTAGCGTCCTTGCTCCTAGTAGTAAGGCCAGGAGCCCCTACATAGTAGCGTCCTTGCTCCTAGTAGTAAGGCCAGGAGCCCTTACGTAGTAGCGTCCTTGCTCCCAGTAGTAAGGCCAGGAGCCCCTACGTAGTAGCGTCCTTGCTCCTAGTAGTAAGGCCAGGAGCCCCTACGTAGTAGCGTCCTTGCTCCTAGTAGTAAGGCCAGGAGCCCCTACGTAGTAGCGTCCTTGCTCCTAGTAGTAAGGCCAGGAGCCCCTACGTAGTAGCGTACTTGCTCCTAGTAGTAAGGCCAGGAGCCCCTACGTAGTAGCGTACTTGTCTCTAGGAAATGCGGTTTGAAGTTTTCTTGTTTTTCCGTTCTTTAGTGACTCAAGGGTCGCACATGGTGCAGGAGTCCGAGCGTCGAAGCCGACGCCGACCAAGCGAGGAGGAGATGGCAGCGTTTCATCGAGGGATGGCCTACACAGCTTGGCAGCGTGAATAGATGTGAATAGATGCGAATAGTGACTGGTGGGCTTGTGAATACTAATGAATAATGACTAATGAATACTAACGATAGAATCGCAGTCTGGATGCCAAGCTGTGTAGGCATGGGGCTTTGAGAGCACTTTGCTGTGGGAGATGCTTACGTTTCGGGAAAATTCATGATACTTCAAGTGGGCAGAATAACCGTGCTTGCATTCACAATCGCATTAGAAGCAGTTATTGACCAGGTGGAGAGCCGAGAGAAAGAAGCGGTGTGAAAGGATGCAGGAATTGTAGCTCTGAACGAGCATCCCCAAGGTGTTGGCCCCCTGTGCGTCCGACAATGGGCATGCGTCCAAGCCCAGTCACGTCCGGTCACCTCTTTTTGAACAGGTGAATGAGGTCTCGTTGATTTCCGCTGCCTGCTCCCCCGCAATGTGTGGGGGTTATGTACGGTGGACAACTAGATCCAAACCCTAAAATTGTCTCCCTCGGCAGGCAACTCCATCGACGCAGTTGCCACCTGAAGTTGCAGAGGAGCTACAGGTCGGGCAGCCTCTC